CAACAGTGTGAACTAATAATTTAAATAGTGTAACACATACTATATGTTTATGGTTTTAGTGATGGATGAATTTTTGATTTTAATAGCGAATATGTTTACAGTTTTGATAATGAGTAAGCAGTAATTTCAACAATAGATAGTTCGTAATTTTAACAATATGTTTGTTCAGAATTTTAACTATAGGTTAATGATTTCAAATATCGAGTAGGACATGATACAGTGGCGATCATAAATAATGGAGCAAAAAAAATTTTGGTTAGATCGCATTATCTTACGCAATTTCAGGTGTATCTGTTAGCTTTTTTTATTTTATTCATCAATGGTACCTTTTTCAATATTAAAATTTTAATTATTGTTGTTATTGTCAATGTAAAGATAATCAAGCAAGTATTACAAAACACATAATGCATTATTTTTAATCATTTTAAACACAACACAAATATAAAATAAAAAAATTTTTTTATATATAAAAAAAAAAATCCTTTTTTTTATTTTAATAATTTATGATCACTACTATCTGGCATATTTATCTTGTACTTTACTAATGTTCCAAATATTGTTCTTGAAAGAGACAAATCAGGTCAATAGGGCATTAATGCTAATTTTCTTTCGAGCCATCTAGATTATGCTCCAAAAATTCTTCTTACTCAAAATTGAAACAGAATATTCCTATGCAGATGATCAATCAAGATTTAAAAAAAAATTAATAGAAAAGTAATTAAAAAATAGAAAGTCCAATATAAAGCCTTGATCTGATTATTTTTAAATTATCATTTTATTATTGTTATTATATATTTGACTTATTATCTAATTAAACAAATAATTATGTATATCATATTCATAATCTCTGATAGTATTTGTAAATTCTCACAAAAAATTCGTTAACAAAACTCATTATTCTTGTGTAGTCGAGCTTGCTAAGGCTTTAGCATAATTAAATATAATTCAACATTATATATTATTATAAATTTCACAAAAATTCTATTTAAGTTTAATTTAAAAGCTATTTAATAACTTTCCAAATCATTTTGATCAAAAAACTTTAAAAATTTGATTCATTAAATTAAATTACCTAGAATTAGCTTTGATGAACTGATTTTTATACGTTTTTGAGAGTTCAAGCCAACCTTTTTACTTGTATTTACATTGATAGAAAATTTTTTTATTTAATTCTTGATACTAAACTATAGTTTTAAGTATAGAAAGAATAATTAGCTATTGAAATATAAATATTTTTATTTTTTTTTAGATAAAACTGTACTTAAACGGCAATTAAGTGACAAGTGAAAATTATTCAATTTACTATTCTTGTCTAGTTTTTCTCACCCTTGATAAGTAGGTAACTAAACTTTATTAATTCTTCATAAGTGTGATATCCAACCACTTTTACAAAAAAAAAAAAACTATAAAGAAGTCAATATTATGCACCAACCTATCAACTTAGTAGTATACAACTTTTACGGCAAAAAAAACTTAGGCATTATTGTACTGTGGTTGTATATTTTTTTTTAAAAAAAAACTTCATTGGAAGTTCTGTAATGCATATGCATATTCAAGAATGGTGATACAATAAGTGCATATCTGATCCTTACCATAAACGATCAAAAGTAATACATCACGTGTTTTGTGATACTTGTTCGATTATCTTTTATATTGGCAATAACAAATAGTGATTAAAATTATAATATTGAAAAATGATGCCATTGACGAATAAAATAAAAAAAAGCAAACAAATACACCTAAAATTGCAAGAGAAAATGCGATCTAACCAAATTTTATTTTTTGCTACATTATTTATGATCACTACTATATTTAATATATAATACAGAACTAATATTACCGAACCGTATTTCAAATTTCCTTTTTTGGAATTCTCCAATGATCGACAAAATTAGCCAATAAAATAGCATTATTCAGAGATGTTAATTGAACATCTTTACGTAGCAAACTACATAGTGATAATACAGTACCGAGTACCATAAACTATATAAATACGAAGATCTTGGCTACATTTTTTATACAGTGTACAAGTATAGTATGCTATAACTATAACAAAATATATATTTTATTATAACAATAAAAAACATCGCGACATAGCAGTTACAAATAATAAGAGAGCTCTACGAAGAATACATATAATATTTCCTATTTTTTTTATTATACTGTATTTTATAATTTAGCTTTTGTAGGATTGTCTCCGTTGTTGTTTAATCTCTCGCTCTAGCGGAAGAATATTAGCACCAGAAGTTACACGTCTATGAGGATTTGTGTCTTTATACATTATGTCTACCAAATTTTGTACTTCTTTGAAAGAGCTTGAAGCAATAAGGTCGCGAAGGTGAGTCATTAGGGTACGATTATCATTCATATTATATAGTTCTTGCATTGATAATTGTTCAGATTCAATTAGGTTCTGGAACAATATTGAATTTTCTTGCAATATTTGGAGACTTCTCAAAGTAGATTCTAAGAATTCTTTAAATTCTTGTTTGCATATAGCAGTAGTATTTAAAGTATCAATATTGACTTCATTAGATATTGGTTCTGTCGATTCAGGTATATTAAATGGTGATGTTACTAAAGCATTGATTTCAAGAATATGTTCTATATAATTAAGAATTTCTTTAGATGAGGTAGTTATAGGACTGTTATCATTATTATTGTGATTATTGCTTTCATTGTCTATATTTTCATTTCATTATCTACGTTATCGTTATCTTCATTATTAATCTCAGAACTTATCAGCATTTCTGATCTGTCGGCATATTGATTATAATAAATTTGTTGAGCTTCTTGGTAAGTTGAAAAAGTTATTTCGGGTAAATATATATACTGCTCTTGTTTATGAAGTTTATTGATATAAAGAGCAGCAGCATGAAGATGCTTACACAAGATACCAGTTTGAAGAAAGTCAAAGCATTGACAACAAATATCTGTTGGCTGTCCATATACACAGATTGTATAAATAAACCTAGAGGAAGATTTAGACTTGACCTCAACATAGATTTTTTCACTAGTTATTTCAAATTTAATAACTTTTTTCATTTCAAGTAGTTTTTTTGCTGATTCATTCCGTTTTATACTTGGAGATAAATAGGCAACTTGTGAAAATTCTTGCATTAGAAGCTTACGATCAGATGGATCTATTATATTGAGTTCTTTTCGTCGCTCTACTTTCTCATGTTCAAGATCTATAGCAAGATTTCGTAACGTTAAAATATTAGGTATAACTTCATATACAAGAGCAATATAAAGTATAT